GTGGCTTAGCATATGTGCTGATTCCTTAAGTTTACGAATTTTCCAATGGTGTTCTTTATCTATGATCTCAACCTGATCCTACAAAGGGCGGTGATCTCCCTTCTCTCTCCATATGTGGTCAGCCACGCCTGATTTTTCTACTTCCCCTCGCGTTACAGCTTTCTGGTGTTCTTGAAGCCTTAACTTGAGGGGGCGGCCTGTCTCTCCTTTATATTCCTTTCTGCAGCTGCACGGGATAACGTACACGCAGTCTTTATTTTTATTTTATTTTATTTATTTTATTTTATTTTATTTTACTTATCCCAGCTCTACTAAGCGTATTGAGCACTCTACGTTTTAGATCTTTTACTCGCTTGTTTTTTTTTTTCTTTGGACTAATAACTTAAGGCACTGGACTATTTGTTTGGTCCTGTTCGAATATTTCTAGTTCTTTCTTTTTTTTCCTCGGGGATCAATTTGTTTTGATATACTTGCAAGTTGTGCTATCCGAGGTTTTTTAACAACCGAGTATTACTATTAGTATAACAATAATATATATATATATATATATATATATATATATATATATATATATATATATATATATATATGAAGAATTATAGTTTTAAGGTGTGCTATATTTATGGGATAAAGTGCTCAATATCAGAGATAGAGCGTATGTAAATATAAATATAAAAGTGAACATTGAAGTCAACACTCAGAGCCGACAGGCCTGACGATTCCGTCTAGCATGAAACAGCCTGTCGCCTCTGAGTGTTGACTTCAATTTTCATATATATATATATATATATATATATATATATATATATATACATTAAACCAGCATGGAATTGTACCAATTTCGATACGCTACAAATCATCCGAGAACACAAATTTGATACGCACCCGCATCTTAAAAATAACAAAAACTCAAACAACCCTGAAATAAAATCAGTTATGAACACGGCCACAATATACTGACCGTATTCGGTAATTAAGAGCATGTCTTCCTTTTAGGAACTTTTGAATAGTTCTTACACAATGGTTTTCATAGTAGTATAACTAAAATCATTGAATATAGCTAATCCATTAGTCGAAAGCACTCGGAATCAAGAAAATATAACATATATAATATATGTATATGTATTTGTAATATATATGTATATGTAATATATATGTATATGTAATATATAAAATATATGTAATATATAAAATATATGTAATATATATGTATATGTAATATATAAAATATATGTAATATATATGTATATGTAATATATAAAATATAACATATATAACATCTTTTAAACAAGGTCTTCTGTCCAAATAGAAAACTATATATAACTATATAACAGTAACACATCAAATATTTCACTGTATAGATCAGTTATAACAAATTTAGTATAGGGTATAACGAAACTATTATAACCTAGAAAGGGTTACTGAATGAGGAATAATCAAACGGAGGTTGGAAATAAAATGGTAATTTTTAAAACATCAATAAAATGCAATACTCGCCAGCGACGTGAAGTAGGTAAACCACTGCTAGTGGTAGACTACTTAGACAGCATCTTATCACCACTTACAATAGTATCCAACGTATCTATGAGGATTGGGACATACCCATTAACGTTCATAGGTACGGTATAAAATAGAAACTGAACATAGAATGGGTTATGATAGTAGTAGTTTCACTCAACACCCTAAGTTGCTTCAGAATCACAAAGATCTGTACCAATTAATAGAAACCACGTCACTTGTGGAATTTCAACAGCATCAGCGATTAAAACATATAGTAGATCTAACTCCAATAGAAAATAATGTCATAAGCATGAGGCTGACATTCGACACTATCCCAAACAAAAGTTTCAGAAATAAAGCCCACACCAATACTAGAAAACGGAATAAAAGTTAATGAACTTGAGAAACCTATTTTCCTGAAAAATTATTTTAATAGTAAAACTTTATAAACTATCATTCGAAAATAACACTGGCTGTTCGGTCAATGGATGCTGAATGTTTCCTTATATGGTTATAACGTATCTTGTTGGCTGAGAGTTGAAAGTTCAATCCCTGAACCGTGTAGTGATGATAATCTTTTTCAAAAGAGGAAACGGTGAATAATTCTTCTTTTTTTTTCTATGTACAGTGTAATTTCAGAACGTGGAGGATCATGGATCTCCACAACTTTCTGCACATTGTGGCTCTGAGCTACATTAACTTTACCTCCCATCTTTTTTTCCTGCTCTGTCATTCATTCAGCCAAACTCATGGGCAATCATGGCTCTCCACAACTTCTTGTAATTTGTAGCTCTAAACAATGTTCGTCACACTATCATACCTCTTTGTCCTTGATAGCTCATGCTTTTACACAACTCAGAGGCGATCATGGCTATCTACAACTCCCTATCCTTTGTAACTCTAAGCAATGTTATACTTCTTTGAATGATCATGACTCTCCACAACTTCCTGTTCAATGTTCGTAATGCTATCATACTTCCCTGCCCTTGATCTCTCATCCATTCCCACAAACACATGTGCGATCATGTCTCTCCACAACTTCCTGTGCTTTGTAGCTCTAAACCATGTTTGTCACACTAACATATCCCTTTTTTTCTTGATCTCCCATCCATTCACCTAAACTCATGTGCGATCATGTCTCTCCACAACGTCCTGTGCTTTGTAGCTCTAAACCATGTTTGTCACGCTAATATATCCCTTTTTTTCTTGATCTCCCATCTATTCACCTAAACTCATGTGCGATCATGTCTCTCCACAACTTCCTGTGCTTTGTATCTCTGAACCATGTTTGTCACGCTAACATATCCCTTTTTTTCTTGATCTCCCATCCATTCACCTAAACTCATGTGCGATCATGTCTCTCCACAACGTCCTGAGCTTTGTAGCTCTAACCAATGTTTGTCATGCTAATATAACTCTTTGTTCTTGATACCCCAATCCGTTCCCCATAACACATGGGCGATCAAGGCTCTGCACAAATTTAGAACTCTAAGCAATCTTTTCATGCTATCATACCTCTTTGTCCTTCATCTGTCATCGATTCACACAAACTCATAGCGCTCCACAACTTCCTTTGTGCTTTGTAACTCTAAGCAATGTTTGGCATTTTACCATGTTTCTTTTTCCCTGCTCTGCCAGCTATTCACACAGCTTGAAATATAAGTGTACTACATCTGATGAACAGAAAAGACCAACTTTTGATCTTGGAAAGCTCTTACCAACAAAATAAAGAAAGTCTGAGAATTGAAATCCTGAATATATTTGGTAGCTGAAATACGCACTAGCCCAACTCAAAACCTCATGCAGACTGTTCTGCAACTGAAATCTCACGGACCAATAAAAACGTTGAAGTTATTATATGACGTTTAAACATACAAACTTAAGCAGACTAAAAATATATCAACGCCAGTATTTATTCCATACATTTACAGTGATAAGAATTTCAGAATCTAATGACGAATAACGAGAAAATAGTTGATAAGAAATGATACTCCCTAAATTTTCCGGATCTTCACCGCCATGAGTAGTCCGTTTGAAAGCGCTAGAGTTCAAATGTGTACGATCTTGTAGGTAAGCAAGAAAAGTTAACTATAAAAAAATTCATTGCAAGTTATCTTAAAACAAACATTAAGGAAAGATTGCTATCCAATAAAACACAGACACAATATATGTGTGTGTGTTTGTGTTTTCTTTCTTTCGAAAAAATATTTAATTAAAGCGTCAAATTATATTCCACTAGCCAATATTTATTTGCTAATCTGGGTACTGCGCTAGGAAAAACTGGCATCCCACTCATTATACTGACGTAGGATTATTCGTCAGTGTTTCAGCGCTCTACCACTTTCTACTGTAAAAAAAAAAACGCTATTTTCTTCGATATTTTCGATCGATCAGTCTTTTCTCGATCTCCTCGAACACTGATCGATTAAATTTAATACTTAAAATTGCTGATAATTTCCATATTTTTTTTTTATTTCAAAGTTGTTTTGAGATTTTAGATGAAATATTTTTCATTGTTAATTCACCTTTTGTTTCTTGTCTTCACAACGTTCTCGGCCGATCTACTCTTCCGCATCTCAAGTACACAGTGTGACGTCAGAATAAATTAACGGTCGGAGAGTGGGTTGGCTTAGTACATTTTCAAGGAAGGCAAGAAAAAGATGAAAAAGATTCATCAAAATTAATGAAAAGCTTGCATTTTAAAATTTCAAATGACCATTAGTTTGGACCGGCCTACGCATTCTATAACAAGTCCATTGGTGTACAGGTACTTCCAAATAAAATAAGGCAAGAATTGTAATGAGGTCAGTCTTAGACGGGTAAAATAGAAAGTTCATAGTTGAGATATTAGACAAGGCTTTAAAACTCTTTGCCGGTTATTTGAATCCAGAAAGGATATTTTGATTTTAACTTTTTTTTCGGCTATAATGACGCTTTTGTGACACAAGTCTTAATAATTAACCCATGTTTGGGGGAGAAGTGAAGGATTCGTAACTTTTCCACGTAAGTACATATAACGATGTAGAGCGAGTAATTGTGGTTAAATGCAAATAAATAGCAGAACGGTCCAACAAACAGAATTGACAAAGTTTGCAATAAATAACAAGAAAAAAAGGAAAGAACAGGTCAAAAAATAATATAAAGTAGGCAAATATATGCAACGTAAATTAAAAGCAATAAGGCAAAGCATCTGTAATTTTGGAAAAAAAAGTTCACAAAGAAAGAAATAGTGTTGACACAAAACAGCAAGTTCGGATAAGTGAACGTAGCATTCTGACAGACCGGGACTGGGTCATATGAAACAGAGAACTGGCCTATTTTATTGGCGAGGAAAAAAATCACAGTATGCATTTGTGTGCTTCTGTCTATAAATTTGGTAGGGGAAAATGTCTTGCAATCATTCATAGCCAGGATTGTAACTAACAAATGAACCCACTGGAATTAGAACTCGGTTCTCTTATTAACAATTTTCAGTCATTATCTGTTACACCACATCCAAACTACAGCAGCTGATATTCCCAAGCAGTCTCCCATTTGCTTACTGGCCAAGCTCGATGTTGCTTAACTTCGATGATCATAAGGGTACCGGTGTTGCAACATAATATGACCGTAATCCAAAAACATATATATAGGGTCATGGAATTTCCCAATCTAAAACTATTTACAGTTCTTTTCCTATCAACGAATTGTGAGTTATTATTTCGGTGACACCGACGAGGGCATCGATAGTCATTTTTGTTTCGATTATAGTAACAGGGAAACGTGGAAGTTTACAAGTGCCCTGTCGAAAATCCCCAACATTATTGTCAAACTTTTTACAACGTTTGCATGAGAGAGTATCTGTCGAAATGGATCAACGACGAATGAAGCCCTCATCAACTAAAAATTATAATCGGTTACAATATTGATTACAATAGTGACCAGGGATTTCAAAGTTGTATCAATGTTCTCTAATAAATGCACGCCAAGCAAAATATTATATTTTGTTGCCGAGGTTACTACATGATGGGAAGAGAATTGGGCGGCATAAATAAACAACAGACACGACGAATAAAAGAATCCCCAAACTTTACTTTGCTTCGTCTTATTTGGTGCCGTGACCAGGATCAATATTATTATATGTCACAACCTAAAGAGAAAAAGAATTGGTGCTATGAATAAACACAAGGCAAGACCAATGAAGTAATCCGGATACTTACTTCGCCACACGATTAAAAGTGAAATTTCTTCAACAAAGCTGATATCTGCTTTCTTGGTTCCAATATTAAATCTAAAAAAAAAACAGAAAAAAGTTCACTAAAAGTGGTTTGTTTCTTATTCTCATTTAATAAAACTAAATTCGTTTACAGTTGTAAAACACCCGATGAAAACTAAACTCATCATACGGTCGACTTGGCTTGCAGAACAAACGCCCTCACCTGAGAGTTACAGCATGTATTAGATTGGTCCCAATCCAAATCTTGAAATTCAAATCTCCCCTGCTAAGAATGGAGAGACGTGTCTATTAGCGAAAAAGGGTACGCAACAGAGTAATCTGGAATCCGATCCCACTTCGTCGATCCTATTTCCGTGTCGTTATTCTTTGTATTATATCTACATCCTCTTAATAAAAACATCACTATATATAAAAAAAACAAGTAAACAGTACAGCTGAACCTAAAGCAAATAATCACCTTGCCTTATAAGGTAGAATATCATCGGTACTTTGTTAACATAATTTATTTTATGAAATGAAAAGTCCGACAATTATTTAAGACATTTTTATTTATGTCTATACGTTCTTTTTATAGATACAAATATTTAAGTAAATGCTCTGTTTATAATAATCAATATTAACAATATTTACCGTCCTGAATGTCCGAGAAATTTTCATAGAAAATATGCGTCCTACGACAGGAATCGAATCTGTATCCTATATTGAACCGTCATATAGCCTTTCTTAGCAAGGTCGCTATATGGTCATATATCGACCTTGCTAAACGAACGCTCCTCTGTGGCCCAATCGGTTAAGGCACGTCAGGCTATATGACGGTTCCGTATAGGATACAGTTTCGATTTGTGTCGGAGGAGGCATATTTTCTATGAAAATTTCTAGGACATTCAGGCCGGTAAATGTTGTTAATACTGTTTATTATAAACAGAGCATTTACTTAAATATTTGTATCTATAAAAAGAACATATAAACATTTAAAAAATGTCTTAAATAATTCATTTTATAATAATAATAATAATAATAATAATAATAATAATTAGAAATAGCCATGAAAATGTTATGGGTTTCTTATTTTTATTTTCTGATGAATTTTAATTCTTAAGACAATGATTGAATAAGCTCCTTGCTTGTTCCACGACTATAAATACCAGTGGAAATTCGTTACGTATTTGAGCTCACCAAAATATTGCAATACATTTATAAATATGAATATAGGTCATTATTTTAAGTTACAAATGAAACGATTGGAAGTTGACATCTTTTTCCATCTAGCAGACGATAAACATATGTGATCATTATCGACTCCCCTGCCATCCTTTTCTTTCTTTCTTTCTTTCTTTCTTTCTTTCTTTCTTTCTTTCTTTCTCACTGAAACTAAACAGTGTCTCTGATATTTATTGTATATCCCTTCTCGGGACCAAAACGGAATGGCGTACAATTTAAAAGTTACTGCGAGAGCGGAACGTACGTGCAAACTAATAATAAATATCATAATAATAATAAAACTAAATTGGTTGTGATGAATATGATGCCTGTGGCAAGTATACCCTTAGGAAACTGGATTCGTATATTTGTACCCAAGCCTCATCGAATTCTACGGCGTAAAGATTATGTCTATGAACAGAAACAGTGGACCGACTTTGAATTCTAGCAATATAAGTATAAATCTACTTTTCTCTACGCTGTCACATCGTTAGTGATCTTGAGAAAAATCACTTCGTCATTGGTATGACACATCATCTGTTAGAATAGGTGAATGGTCTCGTTTACAAATTATTCAACCATAGCAAAACTGCTACTATTATTACCAACCTTGACAGGGATCAAAAATCAATATCTGTTTCTCTACTTTTGTATTTTTGCTTCATATTTCAAAATATTTCAATACGAGATTTGCTTTTCTTTTTTGTTCTTTGATTGTTCTGAATTTAAATTTACTGAATTCCTGCCTCAAACATTTTGAATTGAACAAGCCAAAAGGTATATTTACAAAAATATTGATTCACTTTTTAAAATTCAAACTGTCAATAGCAGATGCTTCCAAAAATATTCATTTTCTAATATATATATATATATAGAGAGAGAGAGAGAGAGACAGAGAAACAGAGACAGAGACACAGAGAGATAGACATATAGAGAGACACAGAGAGAGAGACAGAGACAGACAGAGATAGACACAGAGAGACAGAGACAGAGACAGAGAGAGACAAATAGAGAGAAACGGAGAGAGACAGAGACAGACAGAGTGAGACAGAGACAGACAGACAGACAGACACACAGAGAGAGACAGAGACAGACAGAGAGACAGACAGAGAGACAGAGACAGACAGAGACAGACAAAGAGAGAGACAGAGACAGACACAGACAGACACAGACACACAGAGAAAGAGAGACAGAGAGAGAGAGAGACAGAGACAGACACAGACACGGAGAGATGCACAGAGAGAGAGAGACAGAGAGAGAGACAGAGAGAGACAGACAGACACAGACAGAGAGAAAGACAAATACAAAGACCAGAAGATAAATAAATAGACATTGAATAGGTAAATATGATAAAACTGGAACTGATTTTTTTATAAAGTGTTTTCGCGTAAGCATTTGAGAAAGAAAGAAAGAAAGAAAGAAAGAAAGAAAGAAAGAAAGAAAGAAAAGTGAAAAACAGGAAGAAGATTATGACAGAAAAAAAGAAAAAATACAAATAAAAATAGAGAAAAAGAAGTTAAAAAGAAAGAAAATGTGGGAAAAAAGTTCTGAACTAAACAGTAAAGATCTACAAAAGAAAGAAAGAAAGAAAGAAAGAAAGAAAGAAAGAAAGAAAGAAAGAAAGAAAGAAAGATGACGAGTGAAAAAAGAAAAGAGTATAAAAAAGAAAAAGAAAGAAGTTGCTCTTATTTCATTGTTGATAATAGGTAATGGCTATGGAAAAGAAATGTCCTCCTGTTTTGGCGCAACACACTCATTCTAGCAGATAGATAGATAGATAGATAGATAGATAGATAGATAGATAGATAGATAGATAGATATTGAAGAGACTGAGATAGATAGATAGATAGATAGATAGATAGATAGATAGATAGATAGATAGATAGATATTCAAGAGACTGAGATAGATAGATAGATAGATAGATAGATAGATAGATAGATAGATAGATAGATAGATAGATATCGAAGAGACTGAGATAGATAGATAGATAGATAGATAGATAGATAGATAGATAGATAGATAGATAGATAGATATTCAAGAGACTGAGATAGATAGATAGATAGATAGATAGATAGATAGATAGATAGATAGATATTAAAGCGACTGAGATAGATAGATAGATAGATAGATAGATAGATAGATAGATAGATAGATAGATATTGAAGACTGAGATAGATAGATAGATAGATAGATAGATAGATAGATAGATAGATAGATAGATAGATACCAAGAAAGAAAGAAAGAAAGAAAGAAAGGAAGGAAGAAAGAAAATGAACAGTTGAAAATAAATTGTTTCATATCAATACGGAAATGATCATTCGTGAAAAGCTCTTAAATTATAACCTTTTTTAAATCATTTTCTTTCTTTTTTCGTCAACTAAAAACACCTCAAAATCCAACCCGAGGTTCAACTTAATTGGGCAAATGCGTCTTTGAAAAAGACCGTCTTATTATGCGATGATTTTGTTAGGTTGGAGTGCTTCTTTGATCTTTCAAACTCTCCGAAGAAATCGGCCGAGTAAAATCGTTCTTCTTTTTCTTTGCTTGTTTTCAGAAATTCCAAGTGCGTGCCTCCAGCAGAAAAGTCGATGCCTTTGATATCCGTAATGATATGCTCGCCTGCATTATTTTAATTGTACACACAAAAAACTCGTATTTATCCCACTTGTGGAAGGTGAATGCAAGCTTTTTGAATTTAACTGTCGGTAACGGAAACAAGAAGGTGGAGTGGAAGAGCGTGTACCTGCGTGTAATATGGACTCAGGGGTTCAACATCCTCCGGAAACAGTTTTTTGTTTACTTCGTACTATTACCCTTGAGAAAGGCATGATTCCATATCTCCCCTGGAGCTATAGATTAAATAGCAGGAGGATTTGGGAGCTCCCGTTTTAAATGGAAACCAATTTAGGAGAAGAGCAATTCTAAGGACAGATGGAAAACGCAAATATAAAATATTATCTTTATCGACAATGAAGAGTTTCCGCGTATTAAGAAGAAGTCGTGGATCACTTATATTTTGAAGAAAGCCGAGTAAAAGTGATTTCTATGAGCCATGGCGGCTGAACAGGTAGGCGTGAACCAAGGAGATGATTGTGGTTGCACCTGGAATTTCTGAAAATACACAAAAGCATCGATATCGATGCCTTTTTTTTTACGCAAGCGGAAACCTCAGTGGCACAATTCTCAATAAGTTA